TTTTATTCATTAGGAAATCGATGAACCTTTGATTATTTAATTTCCTTTATTTCATAAATTCAATATAAAGTTTCAGTTGGACAATTGTTTGATTTATATGATTTGATTGCTTCCATAATTATTGGCCATATGTTATGTGAGTTTAGATGATTTATTCTTTGCATTCGAAAGAAGGGGAATAGATTCGATATAATATAAATTAACATAGGGTTCGATAGGGGATAGAAATATACCCCTATGCTTTATGCAATTCATAAGGCGTTCTTAAAAATTCATGCATTCTTGTATAATTGCATCATCCATAGAAATATAGGCTGGTGGTGTGCAAGAGTAGATTCAGTATATATCGAGAGAGTATATTGGATAGGTTTAGGAACATTGAATTGGCATTTTTCCATCGATTCGTTGAATTTGTGAAATTAGGGTTTTTAATAGTCAATTGGGGATTCGAGATCCTAATGATTGCATTTCAATTTATTTCTATACATTAACTTCCAAAAATTGCGTATTTACATTTTAATTGAGTTTTTGAGTCATTCAATTAGTGAAATTTCGAAATTAGGGTTTCCAATTTCGAAATTCGGGGTTTCTTTAAAAAATAGGGTTTCAAATTGGGGATTTCTCCCACAATTAGGGGTTTTCACATTTAAACCAAATTTTCATTCAATTAGATTCGATTAAGGTCACATTAGTCTAATTAGAGCTAATTCAATCCTCGTGGGAACGATATTTGGACTCATAGTCCATTTTACTACTTGTTAACGAACCGTACACTTACGATGAGTTTTAAAATTGAAAGAAACATTTTGTGAACAATAGAGTTTCAGATCTTAGAATTTCGTTTAAATATAAGGAGAAAATGAGCGTGAGGTAATCCTCTTTTCTGAAATTCAATAACATAAACATATGCAGCAATATGACCCAACAACTTTCTTTTAACCAAATCTGTCTTAATTCCGAAAACTTAACACGAAATATTCTTACTAATAAATCTGGCATATTCTGTATTTCATCACTATGTTTCAATTCACATTTTATTTCAGGCCAATTTGGATTACATGTCATTGTCAAAAACACATCTTGTTTGCCATATCTCTGAACTAAAGAGATTGCATCCATATATCTTTTAGTCATGTTTCTAGAACCTCCAATAAAACCAGAAGGCAACACCAATGATTTACCAATTTTATAACCTCTATTCTCACCATTTTGTACACTATCCACAGTTCCCTGATATAGTTCAACTCTTATAATCTTTTGGTTATTACAAAAGTAGTATAATCTTGTTGTTTCAATTTTCACGTATATATCCACAACATATTACTGTAAAAGTCTGCCAGCATGTAAAAAAATACAATTATTTACACACCTGATTTGAAGCTTGTAATAATAATATTCTCGACATGATACAGTTATTTGTTTTTTCTTTACCTTCAAAACTGCAACAAGGAAAAAAATTATATCAACAAAAACTTCATTCACTAAATGCAATTAATTACATAAATAAAATAATTTAAAAAATAGAAATTACTAAAATCGTTTACCATAGTCTTCTATTTCCAATAATTGATCCGCAGAATGGACATGATTAACTTCTATTAAATTCTGACAAACCCGAGCTTGTGAAACACTTACATTTATCTTTTCAATACCTTCATGCCATCCAAGTTCTCCATATGAAAAAAGTAGCGGATATTGGAGAGGATCATAACTACCATAATAGTATTGAACTTTATATGCATTACCTGAATGCCCATAAATTAATAAATCCCGGCCTCTACTATTTGCAGATGATGGGTCATCGTCAACCTAAACTATAGCCACTTGTTCTGATGTTGGCAAGTTATATACTCTTTGATCAACAATAGGATTAGACTTTAGTAAAATACAACATGATTCTAAATCACTAACTTCACTTAATGATCGAAAAAACTTTGAATAGGAATTTTTATTTAGAACATCTATCAACTTTCTTAACGTAAACTCACAAAACTTATTAGAATTATTTAGTTTATTACAAATTTCATTTCCAGTATCATAGAAGTATAACTGTAAATAAGTTGGATTCTCATTACCAAATGAAGTAAACGCAAAATGATTGTTATAACTACGAATAACCTTTCTAAAAGCTACAGCCTTTTCAGATGTGGAAGTAAATAAATCATACATTTTGAGAGGTATATCATGTAACTGTAATTTGACATTTCCATCACAACAACAAAGCCTTTGCCTTCTTTATAGAATTTTGTAGCACCATAATAACCACAAACTTTAGAAGATGACAAAACATAAGGTTCATCAGGAATACTTTCTGTACAAATTTTTTCTGCATATTCAACACTCACATTCACGTCGTCAGATTTCTTCTCCTCCTAATTCAAAACGTTGATTAGCATCGCCTACAAAAAAAAATTCGAAACAAAAAGGAAATTGTAAAGAAAAAAACATTTAATATAAATAAACTAAACATAAACATAATTATATATAAAAAACGACTAAACAAGAGCTATTTAAAAAAAAATACTCCAAAAAGGTCGAATAGATAATTCATCTCTGCGAAAGGAGGAGTTTTCGGCCAGTAAACAAATAAAACAAATAAAGCACAACAAGATGATAAACTAAAACTGTCCAAAGGCAAACACTAACAACTTTTTTATAAAGATGTAGAAGTAGATCATACTAAAAACCTTTCCATCAAAACGATAAAATCATCTGCTATAGACTTTTGTAGTGCAAAACATAAATATTTCCTTATTCAACACTTACACTTATTCCCCTTATTCAAAATATTGATTAGTATCATGAAAATCTTTAAAAAAAGAAAAAAAGAAATTATAACGAAATATATAAAGAAAATTATATTATATAAAAAAGACTGCAAAAAAAAAAATTCTCCGATTAGTTCGCAGAGATGAATTCATTTCTCCTAAGTGTGCGGAGAGATCACTCTTCCTCCGCACTCTCCGCATACAGTGCAGAGTCTTCGAAAAAAATTTCTATAGCAAACTAAAATTTTTTACAGCAAACTAAAAACACATCTCTGCGGAGAAAGAAAAAACTATACTAATAACTTTTATTACTAAAAACATTTCCATTACAACAAAATCATCTACTTTTTTTCTAATTTTTTGTAACAGAAGAATTAGAAGAGATGGCAAAACATAAGTATTTACTTTAACAAACTTTTCTGCACTCATACTCATTCCCTTATTCCTTGATTGAAAATGTTGATTAGTAGGAAATTTGAAAAAACAGGAAATTATAACAAAAAAAAACATTTGAAAAACTATATTATATAAAAAAAAACCGCCAAAGAAAAAAAAAAGATCTCTGAAGAGTTCGCAGAGATGAATTCATCTCTGCGAATTGATCGGAGACATCACTCTTCTTCTGCACTCTCCGCACAGTGCGGAATTCCAAAAATTTTCTCTGACGATAACAATAACAATCACAGATTAAACTAAAAACTAAACATCATTATTATATAAAAAAATAACTACAAAATTAGCTTGTTCAAACTGCAAAAAAAAAAAAAAAACAGTAAGCTGAACTCTCGGTAGCTCTTTTTTTTCGTTTTGACAAAATCTAATCAAAACAAATACAAGCACCCAAAGAATTATAAACACTACTAAATACAACATGTTAAGCTGAATGTTTGTAAACGTCGATCTGTAGAACAAGGTTGCACTTCATGCATCAGATTTTTTTTTTAGTTGAGCATTCTCAATGCACGTGTGCTTTCTCTTTCTTTCACAACCTCGTCTATTCTTAAGCCAGTAACCAACATTTTTTTCACAACTAACAGGATTGTGTAAGGATAAGGTAGAGACTATATGTAGAATTTTTGCATTATTTGGACTTTTATTTCCTCCATCAAATATGAATCGAAGAAAATCAACCTCTATACATAGAGGTATCAAAAATAGTTGTTTTCCCATGCCTACAGCAAGCTTAAAAGCCAAGAAAAAAAGAGAATGAAAGATGAAGTGAGAATATGTGATTCAAAGATTTCACAAAAAAGTAGGAATGAAAATATCAATAAAAAAAAAAATAAAAAAGAAAATAAGGAGTATGGTGATGGAGTACGTTTAGCATGGTTGTTGGCATGGTCCAAGCAAAGAATTTCTTTTTTTCACAACAAAATAAAAAAAAAAAAAAGAGGGAAAAGAGCGTGAACAGTAAAAATGGGATTGGTTTACTATTATGTCTACAGTGCCATCCCATTCACATTTTTAATAGAAGTTAGATAAGCTATAAGATCCATAATTGTATACATTTTGATTCACACAGTTTATGAATCTCAAAACTTGTAAGACAATCTCCAAGCCCACCTACCCCATTGGGCCATCTGCACCCCTCTCATTCCTACCCATTTGTAGTGAATTTGGCTTTGGCCTCAAGGAAAAACGTAGCTATAATTATAGTTATCATGTTCTAAAAAGAGCAACAAATCCAAATATAGGTAAGATTGTGCATGGATGAGTAGTATTTGTTTCATTGATATGAAAGAGAGAATAATTACTATAAGAACTCAACCATGCAAAAGCCTGTGAAGTAGAAATTATAGCTATTTCACTTTTATAAATGTGCCAAAACTGTATAAGTAGAAAAAGAGCAAACATTGAGATATCATATAGAATAGAATGCATCTAATCTAAGCAAGACTGTCATGCACCCTGAGGCATTTTACTAGTGGAATATGGTCTATGGTCACATATTAAAAACAGCTGAAATAATCAAACCTCAGAATGCACTGAAATAAGTAGAAACGAAGCTTGAAACACAACAAAAGCACAATTGTGTGACCAAAATACAAAACAAAAATAGCTAATTAACTTAGAAAACATAATTTTATAATGCTTGAAAAGCTTAGCATCGATCAATCCTCAAGATTCTACTTTACAATCCCACAAATTGACAGTGTCACCAATAAGATTTAACATTTTACCAGTGGTGTACCTATTCACAGGTAGAGTAGAATTAAATCTAACTATTTAAGTACAGATAGAAATTCACATTCACAAACCCCTAATAAATCACTTGAGTTCTTGCCTTGACAACTTTATGAATGATAACAAATGGTTGGTAAGTAGAACCACCAAAAATTCAAAGATAAAAGAGTAATCTGGAGTGTAACAGCTTACTTCATTATCCAAATTGGCAAACAAAAAAGTAAGCCCCCATTAGGCGCCACAGTGCTTTGAGGTAACGCAACCGTGAACCCAACTTTTGAGTATTTAGCAGTGATTAAAAGAGCAATAAAGCTTGCTCAATTAGAAAGCTTATCTGAAATATCCATACAGCACACAGTGCAGAACAAGAGTCTGCTAAAGAAAACCAAGTACCTGGAAGAAAGTGATGTAACATGGGGTTAAGATAGTCATATTGTTTCTCATTTAAAAAAAAAAAAAAATATATATATATATATATAGTATGTATGTATGTATCTATGTAGCTAAAAATGATCAAATATTATACTATGCACTCTAGCAACACCAAAATTCAGGCTATACTATGGAATCTAAATCCAACACACTATTGCTTATTCCCAATAAATTGGAGGTCGGCTACATGAATTAACAACTATGTTCATTTTATCGCTATTATGCAATCTAGATAGATTAGATAATCAATAAATGCAGGAGAACAGATCCATTAACAGGAGGTATGTTAGACTTCTAAATTTCCCAATACTAATAAAATTTAAAAATATAAGCCCGTTGTTCCACCATGCTAGTATTGTTAACAGTCATGTATTTACATTGTCTAGATGTTGGGGATAACCAGATAAGTTTGCAAGTGTCATATTTTCCATGAAATCACATAAATTGACACAGCTGGCCAAGAATTGGGAAATGGGAACTCTATGAAAACTTCTGGATTTATTAGAAGATGGGTCTTTAGTGTGAACCACTGTTACCATTTGGTACTCAACAGAAATTGTTAGAGTTCTCAGGATTTTCTTGTGGAAATAAAATGTACACAGAAGTATAAGATATTCCATGTATGTTTCACTCTAAATATTTCTGCAAAAAAAAGAATGATTGGTGATAAAAGTAAGCTGTTTAACAATAGAAATAAATTGATAAATAACTTCCAAATTCGTATTAAAACAGAAAAATAGCAAGATAACAGATTATTCATATACATGTCTATGGCCAAGATAATGTATTAGTTTCTACCCAGACAGAAGCCATTGCATGGCCGGTTGGACCGCCCACATAGCCTATTTATCAAGAGAAGAGATCAACGAAGCTTCGTGGGAGTTTCCCAGTTCCCCAAATCCTTACATGACAAACACATGGAGCTGTTTCAAATGACTAGAGACTCAAGAAGCCGAAGCCCATTAAAGTCAAATGTAATGAAGTAAATTTATTTAACAAAAAACATACGAATGACATTGTTTAATTCATTTCGGTTTCATCTATACGGAGATGAAATAGAAGGAAACCAATTAACATGCTACATCTGCAAGATACAAATGAAACGGAAGTGGAAAGCAAATTTAAAAAAATCAAAAACAAGTTTTGATCCCATTTAACAAATGTGATTCAAAAAGAGTTGTAAATCAATCAAGGATAGGATCAAAGTGAGTTGGTTTTCTGAGATCTATTAGCTTTCAGATTTTTCCATGTTGTACACCATAATTTGAAAATGTTCTGATTTTCTAGCGTGATTACTACTCGCTAGCTACTATATATAGGGCAGTCAATCACTAAACCTTAATCGTAATACATTCTTCTCTTTACATTATGAGAAACATATATTCCATTCTTGATTGCTTACCTTTCATACCATAATTACTAAACCATAATTTTTTTCTCTTCAGATGCCCATTCAATTATTTCCCTTCCTACCAAAATCAGACACCAATCAAGAATGGCTAGCTTGACAGTTGTCTCAATGAAACATGTCCCTTCCATTTTTTGTTATGTACTACTGATGTAGGTGAGAACACACATGGCATCGAGGGAGGGAGGGAGGGAGGGAGGGGAGGGCGATACAACACCCAGAGAAATATTCGAATTTAAAAAGGTTGCATAAATAAAATGTCAGATGGTTCAATCACGTGCTTTAAACAATTTCAGACTAACACATCTCAGTTACATTAGAATTTACTTTGAGAATTGCATTTTCTCACAGGACTTGATAATTTAGGTTGCACCCATAACAGGATGTCACAGTCACTTGTTACATTAACATGGTATACAACATCCCAAGTCTTGACTAGATCACCAAAAGTAATTGGTAATTTTATTTGCTTCTATGGCTGTTCCATATCAATAAATTGATTCAACATTGAAACAGTTCGAAGCTCACATTTGTCTATAGTACGTTATGATGAATTTGTTTCGGTTCTAAAAGTTTCATTACTGATTCACTGTAACACATCCTTTGCAAGAGCCACGCTTGCAAGGTGTGCCACCTTGGTTTTCCTCACTTTCTAAAGAAGCACGGAGACAAGGGGATACAAATGTGACATAACATGAACACAGATTAAAAATTAATCAAGCTAAATTCGACAAGGGGGACAAGAGGGGATATATTTAAAGGTGTAGACTCTAACCTATTATATTTGCCTCTATTCAAAGGTAGCCACAAGTTCTAATACGACAAAATGAATTTTAAATCCAATTCTTGTACAATTTTAAATTTCCAATTCTTGAACAATGCATATATGGCTATAGTCTGAGAAGAATAAAAGATATTCAGTACTAATTTTACAATACATAAAGGGGAAATAATAATACTACCTGCAACAAAATCCTCTAGAACAATTAGTTTTTGAGAGCTGTCACTAAAAACATCACGTTAAGCTTTTGATAAGACCACCACAATTCTTTCAGATGCAAAACAGAAACCGATGAGTGCCTCTTTGGCCAAAACTTCTTTCAGTTAAACAGTAAAAGTAAGCAGTAAATTCAACTAAATGGTGCAGTCAATGGAAGAGACATGTAAAATGGCTAGTATTTCATAAAACAAAAACTTAATTGCAAATAAAAACAATTACCAGAACGCGCTAATCCCATATTACTTTTTGGCACACTCATTCCAAAAAATTGCATGAGTCCATCTGCAACTCCTAGATTTGGCTCTCTGATCCAATGTTCATCAGTATCTTTCTCAGATCAGTCATCTTTGATACTTAAATAAGAGCTAAACAATCAGCTTCTCGTGGAAACACAACTATTTGTTCCTCTTTTTCATGAAACATTTCAAAGCCACGTAATAAAGAGCTATGAATCATTTCAATGTAAATTTCTCAGATTTCAGTAGTAAGCTGTTAAGTTATATTGTTTAAAAGAAATTCCTACCAAGTTCATAACTATGTTAAACCAATCTAAAATCTGATCTGAGCATACACCTAAACACGTCCCTGAAAAGTGACACGAAATTTCTAATCATAGGTTGAATTGGAATGACAGGTTTCAGAAACCCTTCCACCAGTTAGAAAACTAGTTCCTGGTTTGATTGGATAGAATTAATAGTAAAATCCTTTAGCACCCTTCAGATTGCTAATACCACAAGAAATTGAAGAAGCAAAATAAGAAATGATGAAGAGAAACAATTTTATTATGATGATTAGTCATGCTCATAATAAGATGTGGGAGTTCAGATGATGAGAGTGACAATAAGGATAGTGATATTACGTGGAAGACATGTAGGAAATTAATCATAACCATTAAAATTTGGAGCTTGGTTAGGAAATAATCCTGGTGTACTTCTGAGACCAACATTGAGCCAGGCAATGGCTGCCATGAGAAGAAATTCTCAGAACACCGGATCAAAGTGATTCAGAAAAATCAGAATGATGGCTGTCTAAAATGATGAAAATGTTCACTATTGGCTTCACTAAATGTGAAATTTGCACATTTACACAATGCGGCTATTCTAGAGATGTCAATCTTGTCAACTGAACTGCATCTTCAGAAGAACAGTTTTTGACTAAATACTGAATTCTGTACATCTCCAACCATGAGACATGAATTTACAAGAAACTGTTGTTTGTCCTCCAACGGATTGAAAAATGTGATAATTACGTTTGGAGGACTAGTTTATCCCTGCAGCTCAATGTTGTTACCGCCAGCGGGTATCTAGTCTTGCCTCTGACATAGATTGTCACCTGTTGCTTGTGGAGCCCACCTCCTTGTGCCCTTCTGAAGAAAAATTTAAAGCACCAGTCCCTGATGATGAAGCCAACAAACGATGAACTGCTGGAGAATCAGTTGGCAATGATGCAGCAGGACTGTGTGATAAAACCTCCATTGGATGATCAAACTTGCAACTTGGACCAAACTTGCAGATTCCACATCGAGAATAGAAAATACACGGAGGCTCCCCCTAAAACCAAAAAAAGGGGAGAAAAACATTTAAGAAAGAATGCTGAATTATATTCAAATAAATGGTAAAAGACTTGGTACCAAGAAGGATGATAAAAGCAAAATGCCTCTCGTCCTCCTTCCCTCTTGTTAACTGATTTTTTTCTGATTTCAAGCTTCCAAGGAATAACGTCAAAACATGATCGAAAACTTTGTATGGAAATGTAAGACCAACAGTTATGAAACTGGAAATATATATATATATATACACACCACCTATTTCTTTCAATGTAGCAAACCTACTGTATCCAAAACTCATATTTCGTAATAAACCTGAATCCGTGAACTCATTAACTGCAAGAAGAATTCCCCCCAATTAAGAAGAATGGCAATCGTACTTCTAAATTATAAAGTAATGGAATGTAAAATTAAAGAGATATCAAAATTCCTTTTCAATGTTCCAGTGATGGAAAAACAATACTACAGTAAAGCACTATAAGATAAGAAAAACAAGTTGTTCATTACACGTATAGGATGCAATCATATTGCTTTACAAGATATAGTATTGTCTACTAGTGGGTTTAATTTCATTTTCCTGTTCTGATTTGTTTCTAAATTCTTATCAAGTACTTATTATTGTCTTGGAGTGAGAATTTCAGAGTAGATTAAAGAGTGACTAAGCATTTAGAAGTACAAAACACAAAGCATCCTCTTCTCTACTTAAGGCAAAGGTTGGATACAATTGACCTGTCAGACCATTCATTAGTGGGAGCATCATGCATTGACCCCTCTACTTTATAGTGATCTTGTGCCGATTGGTTCCATTCCTCTCACTTGTCCCAACCTTCGTCAGAAATTCACAATAGAGGAAAACGTGCCAAGATCAAATTGAACTTCTATTTGCGATCCTAAGGTTACTGGAGTAAACAGTATTCAGAGTATAATAGTCGTAAACAAAAGACTCAGAGAAGCAAAAACATGATGGGTTATTGAACAAACAATGATAAAAATGTCCACATTTGTTTTAATTGACGAGTTTGCCAAAATTAAAAATTAACATTCTTTTCAAAACATGAAATAACACTGTTCTCTCTCATACAGACCCCCCCCCCC